GCTGGGCACCTTTTCTAGTCACTTCAAAGCTCTAGAGAGTTGGGCAAAGGTAATCCAAAAGCTTTTGGGAGAAAAAGGAAAAGGCTGCTATCCCACTGTTAAGAACGCACTTGGGGAACTCTACCATGACAGAATGAGTGAATTTTATTATATCCAAACATCTGAAAATACCTGGAGAGAGTGTCTAGTAACCCCCGAACAACGCAAGGAACTCAGCTATCAACAAATATGGCTGTTTGCCATGCGCTACCATGAATGGTTCGAAAACATAGGAAGATTTGAAGAGCCCAAAAATTACTTAGAAAGGGCAGCAATAGCCAAGCTCGCCGCAGTCGCCGACAAGCTGGGCTACGATGTCAAACACATTCCGGAGAATCAGAGATCATACCCCGAGTATGATTTGCTACCATCTAGAGAACCCATTCCAAAAAACGGGAGGATATATACCGAGGAATGGTATCAAGCCAGCCGCTTGATGTTCTTAGATAAGGCCTATCGCGAAACAGATTCTCAATCTGGCGCTCGTACCAAATCTTATGATTTGAAGCAAATATTCCGGATCTTTATTGGAAGCTGTCGTCCACCAGAACCAGATAGCAACTCCCAGGCTCCAGACAGCCCTCAATATGGTCCAGACAACGGCGACGGAAGTGGAACAACCGTTTTTCCATACAGTGTGTCTCCTGCGTCATCAGCTTCCGGAGTCCAGACTCAGAACATGATAGGAGGCTTACCTCTGCCCAATTCAGATGAGATTTATATTGATAGAAATAGATCCCCTAGCCCTCCAGGGGATGACGATATTAGTATGCCAGACGTTTCAGATGCTTCGTATACCCACTTGGATGGAACTGTGGTTCCCCAGACACAAGAGGCATGCAGTGAGGGTGGGGGTGGTGCAGCATTCAATGATATGCGGCAAGCCGTATCATTTAAATATTTCAACGAACGTCTACGGCATTTGCAATCCAATTGGATCGAAATACAATCCCGAGAACCTAGGCTAGAAGCCGAAGGCGTAACTACCAACCATGCGTCATACACCATTCACGAGTTGAACAATTCTATAGCAACAGTAAACCCTGCTCCTCCGGTCACCATAGGAAATTCCATCATAGACAGACAAATGTGTCCAATGCAGATGATCAGGCAACGGGGCTCTAGACTTACCACCTTAAGAAGCGAGCAACGGACTGGGTCTACAAAAGTGACAAAAGATAGATATTCTAGAGAACATCTAACAGCTTCAGTGTTCAGGCCTGGGAGTAGTGGGAGAAGGGTTGTCTTCCGTTCCAATCATGCACTAAGCTACATGAAAGGTGAAGCAAGCCCTAGGGCATTGTCTCTGCGGACACTGCAAATGAGACACGAGGGGCAGCCAATGCCTGAGGAGGCTTATGATATTGCCCAAGAGGGTGGATCCGCCTATAGCCGAACGTGCCGTGACAGTGATCAAACGGTAGAAGACGATGCTGCTGCCGGTGAAGGACCCACTATAGGATCTTCCCTCTGGCAAAGCTCTGCTGAGCAGGGTAATCTCAGGCGACATTCTTTGCAAAAACAGCCAAGGCAGACTGAGGATAGAGAAACTTCGCCACCAAATGTTGTAATCGATAAACGATGGGATAAAGGTAGACCAGCGCAAAAAGGCGCAAAGAATACTACGACTACTCATACCGTTGTAGAAGAGGCTCCGAATCAGCAAGATACACAATTGGAAGATACGTCGGCTCCACAGAAAAATATAAATTCACCTTTATCACCTGACGGTCCTAAACAAGCTGAAGACCAAATTAATTCCCAGGGAGCCTTACTGGAATATACCACAGAGAGCGACATTAGTATAATGCCCACAGATAGTGGTGAAATGGTAACGGGTGACGCTGCTGCCGGCGAAGGATCCACTGTCAGTCATTCTCCGAGGCCGACTTCCACGGAATGCCCCGCAGGCTGTGTGGTACCAACACAGCGGGTATTGCAGTCAAGCAACAAAGGGCAGCCAGTAGCCCAGCGGACGTCTATATTTGTGCAAGAGTGCGGATCCGCCTCTGGCCAAACGCGCTTTTATACTGATCAAGTGATAGAAGGCGATACCCCTGATACAGCTTTTATGAGCGGTAACCAAGCTCTAGAAGGCGATCTTCCAACAGAGACTAAGAGTAGTATAGAAAGATTAGCTCAGCTAGGGGTTGACACAGCTTGTACTGATCGTAACGGCCCCTCCTACTCTCTAGTAGAGGGGTCACGATCTCGACCAGCATACACAAGAGACCAAGTCAGTGGTACGGCATCAGTGTTACAAACAGATAGCAAAGGGCAATCAGCACTCCAAAGACCAACCCCTAGGACTGATGCTATGCCCTCTAATCATGCCCAAGAGGTTGGATCTACCTCGAACGAAATGGACACTAGTGAGGACGTAGGGGTAGTGCTAGGTACCGGAGCCAGTGAAGAACCAAACATAGGGTCACCATCTAGACCGACATACATAGGGGGCCAGGTCGATGATGCGGCATCAATGTTGCAAACAGATAGTGAGGGGCAACCAGCACTCCAAAGACCAACCCCTAGGACTGATGCTATGCCCTCTAATCATGCCCAAGAGGTTGGATCTACCTCGAACGAAATGGACACTAGTGAGGACGTAGGGGTAGTGCTAGGTACCGGAGCCAGTGAAGAACCAAACATAGGGTCACCATCTAGACCGACATACATAGGGGGCCAGGTCGATGATGCGGCATCAGTGTTACAAACAGATAGTGAGGGGCAACCAGCACTGCAGAAATCTATCATAATCAACGACAGACAGTACCAAAACAGATTGGCGCAGCCCGGTGCTGATGATACTGACTTTCAGCTCCCCGTATCAAAACTACGGAAGCGGAGCAATGCTCCACTTCTACAATATCCAGATTCTTCCTCAGATGATATTCTAGTTCTTCTCTGGGAAAAGGGTAAGGTGCCACAGCTCCGTCGAGTTCCAGAACACAATGACGAGAAGCTCCTTGAGGAACAAATTAATCAACTAGTTGCAGACAGAAGGAACAATATTACATTCCAACAGAAAAACCTACGAAACATAAAGCTAAAGGATTTTATCAAAACCGCATGCAAGAAAACTGGTGATAGATCAAATTCAGGTAAAGCGTGGGATACTGAAAGAGTGCTTGTGATAGGGCTTGATGGCTCACTCAAGTCCACACGTGATAATTGTGAATTGGTTGCAAAGATCGTCGAAAATAAGCTCTACAAAAAACGGAAACTATCTCACCATTGACGGCGGAGAAGCCAGTAGATAACGTATTCCACAAGCGAGTGGCTCACTCCAAAACAGTATAGTAAATATGATAAATTACAACTCGATAACTCAGCATCAATAGCTTAGGATGATATTTAACTATATACTAGTACTATTTAGTTCATATATAGCCTATATGGGGTTTGAATAATTTATGATGTTTTGTGGTTGGAATATATATTTGTTGCTAATATGATAGTATCTTTTGGTAATACAATTTTTATTTGTAAATTCGAGTCCCTATATATTATTTACTATACTTGTTGATAGTACTGTTTGATAATTAAATAAGACTAACTTGAGGTTGCTGAAATATCGAGTTATAAAATAATGCATTTACTATGGTGTTTTGGGGTGAGATAGCCTTCTCTCTTCTCACCTCTCTATATACAATTGATTTCCTCTCTGCGTTTTCTAGTTCCTCAGTTTCGCTCTCTCTGGTTGATGCTCCAGCTTTCTTTTAGGCCTTATCACTAGACTTCCGCAGAGCCCAACTTTGGGCCCAAGTTCTGGGCCCACAGGCCCCCAATGGGCCCCCACGAAAGCCCACGATTGCATAAATAACTGGTCTTGGCATCTACAAAGCCGCTAAATAATCAAAAAAAAACTTACTGAAATTTGTATCTGTTCTGGTATACCAGTGAATTTCTCTCCATTTCCCTCCTACGCTGTATGAAATTTTAGGAAATATATACTGAGATGAAGTAAATCAGACTGCTTTAGACTTAACTACCAATAAAATAAAGGTTTAGTTTGTTTTTGCCAGTTCAAGAGGGATAGTCAAAAAAATTGAAGTAGACCGGTGAAAAGATATATTTGATGTAGATCCGTACATAGTAATACGTGCAGATACTACAAAAAATTAAGAGATCAGTAAGAAATATTTTCTGTATAAATTTGTTTTTGATATATATTAAATTACCGCTGATTTTACCTATTTCAACTTTCTGATCTATAACTAAATCAAGTTGATTTAATAATATAAGAAGATATGAAGTGGGTCATAGAAAAAATCTGGGAGGATTCGATTTTGCTGCCCCTTCCCCCACGTGACCCCCGACCTTCTATAAGCCTACAGTCGTAAATATTGGTCCAGAAAGAAGGAAGAAGAAAGATAAAAGAGATAATTATAATAATTATAAAAATAGGTTAAGTAAAGTATTTGATAAGGATTAGAAAAAGGGTTAGAAAAGGGTTAGAAAAGGGTTAGAAAATAGATATAGAAGATGAAGAGAATTAATTAATTAATTTAAGAAAGAAAAAATATCAATAAAATAGTAGTAGTAGTAGTAGTAGTAGTAGTAGTAGTAAAATAGCTATTTATTAGGATAGAATGTAGTTAATAAGCATTTTCAATCTAATTTATTCTCTACTATATCTTTCACAGTATCCTGAGCGAAGCGAAAGTTAGCGGCTTGGTAGTTTAAATGATTTTAAGAAAATAATAGCAGAAACCCTATATTAAGTAACCTAAAATCTCTTGGGTCAAATTTTGGGTCCCGCTTGGCATTTTTGGGTCCCACCTAACTGGGTACCCATAGGGGCAAGTACGAAAACCATTCGATCTTCGGAGGTCTATGAGTGGGAAAGAGCATGGGCATCAGAGAAGACCAGTCGGCCGACAAGGCGGCTGATCGAGACACCAAGCAAGAAAACACTGGAATACTGGTCGGGATTACGCAAAGCAACTGCATCCATCCTGATGCAGCTGCGCACTGGGCGCATCGGCCTGGGTGCCTATCTGGCTCGCATCAACCGACGAGACTCGGCACGATGCGACTGTGATCTGGGTAACCAGACGGTGGCCCACGTCTTGCTCGAATGTCCTCTGCACATCGAGGAACGCGTTCGGATGCGGAACGCTCTGTCCGGGCAAGGGATCAGCTTTCGTCGGGACGACCTCCTGACGCGCCCCGAGGCGCGCGAGATTGTTGCCGGCTTCATGGTCGAAACAGGAATTTTGACCCAATTCCTAGGGACAGATACTGCTGCGTTGGGGATGGAAGCAGTAGAAGAGAAATCATGACCCAAAAGGACAGTGTGACGGAAGAAGACAAGTGATGCCCGCGAGGAGACTGGTGCCAGGTCCACCTTTCTCCCTTGACCAGAACAGACACGAGAGCGGCAGCCAACGGCAGAAAAAGGTGCGCGGGGTGACGGAGCGAGAATGGGAAAGGGACACGAGATGGCGACAGGGGAAAAAGCAGGCCACGCTCATTCAATATTTTTTTCTTATGTTTTGTTTCACTTCTACGTGGTCAAGTCAAGTCCTGCTGGCGGGAATCTTGCCCATCGCGTGGGTAATTACCACCTCTTTTAGCTGTCGGCTGGCCTGATAGCACTCCCGCATAGCAGCATATATATATAAAGCGAGCTACATCGGGCAAATGAATTCATCACCATCATCATATATGTCGGATTTTCGTGGTAGAATTGTGTACATATAGAAATGGGCAAAGGACAGTGTTCTAAAATTGGCACCCGAATCAAGGGTTCTGACATGTCCCCATGCTCAGCCCCGCTTTGGGCATTAAAGCAGCAGAACCGCAGACCCACAGTATTTTCACCTGTTGGTCCTCCACACCGAAACGCAAATTTTTCTCTTATTCAGCTTCTTCATTATATACTCAGTATGCCAAAATTCGACGAAAATATCGAAAATCGCCTTAATCAGGCCTGCGAAGCAGCGAAACGCGATCAAAAACCAAAAATCGCGTCGCCGGCGCGCGAATTCGTGGTCGTCTACCAAGAACAGCTACTACTCCCACCAACAAAACACTTGACGATTCGCAAGAAAAAGCAGTTATTCGCTGGATTCGACATCTTGATTCTTTACAAGTTTCGCCTACAATTAGTATAATTGAGGACTGCGCAAATCAGATTTTGAAACGGAACGCTGCGGACGACGCGTCGCGCTTTATCAGACGCCTCCCACCAGACCTAGAGCTAATATAACAAAAATCAACCGAGAGAAGCTGTCTACACGCAGAAAATATTAGGTATTTAGCAGCTTAGTTTGATCGTCTAGAGCCGTATATAGCTGAAATTGGGGCAAAAAACATCTACAACTTCGATGAAACTGGCTTCCAACTTAGTCAAGGTAATGCACAAAAGGTCGTTACAGCCAACCCACAAAAGCGAGCACGAAGAGGCAATCCTTCGAATGAGAAAGGCGAATCCCTTACGTCTATCGAATATCGCTGCTGACGGCTTCGCTCTCCCTCCTTATCTCGTTTTTCGCGGTAAATATCATCTCGAACGCTGGTATACAACGACTTCGCTCCCAGACGATTATCGCATCGCTACAAGCCCAAAAGGATATACAAATAACAAAATCGCATACGACTGGCTTCAACAGTTTCAAATTCATACTGCTTCTCGCGCGAAGGGTCAAAAACGGCTACTTTTAATAGACAATTACGGTTCGCATTTGACGTACGATTTCATCGATTTCTGTCAACAACTCGATATTATTCCGATCTGTTTTATCCCTCATACCACTCATTTTGCTCAGCCGCTCGATGGAACACCCTTTCAAGCATTAAAACACTATTTTCGAAGTCGAAATAGTGATCTTTCGAGATGGGGTGGCAGCGTGGATGATAAAGCAGATTTTCTTCGAGAACTACCCCGAATTCGACAGCAAGCCTTTACCCCACGGACGATTCGAGATGCTTTTAAGGATCGAGGTATTTACCTATTCAATCCTTAGAAAGTCTTCGATAGACTCCCAAAATTAGACTCGCCAATTATCGAAGGTCTAAAGCCCTTCGATGATGAGAATACAACTCCCCCACCTCCCTCTAGTTCAACAAACTCGCCTCCTTCATCAATTCGTCGTATACGGCGAAGTATTGATAAAGCGAAGGGTTAAATCGATGAGAGTCCGCAGCTAAATGATAGCTGTCGACGTCGCCTTGATCGCCTATTCAAAACCTCTATCGAAGCTACTGAACTCGCCTCGCATTCGTAGTCGGTTCTCGCCCAATATCTTCGTCAAATTCAACCCAAAGAGGCACCCAAAAGTCGCAGACGAATCCTTACATTAGGACCTCTCTCAGTAAAAGATGCAAATCATCGAATTGCGGACCGGACGACGAAAGAGATGCACCAGAATATTCGACGAGCGAGAAAGCAGGCAGTTTCGCAGCCACCCCACATCCCACAACGAGATCAGAATGGGGAGATATTGGTATCAGAAGGAGAAATGACTACTGAGGACCCTTCGCTATTTTTTTTTTTTTTTTTTTTGATTCAGTTGGTGAAATTGTTGAATAATTGATGAATCAAGAAAAAATTTGCGTATCGGTGTGGAGGACCAACAGCTGAAAGCTGTGGGTCCGACTCAGAGGGGACGGCTATCTAATTTTTTTTAATAGTCATGTGATATATCACGTGAACAACCCTTGGAGTTTTAACTAAGCAAGCTAAAGTAGCTTTTTTAAGACCTAAAGCTTCTATGGTTAATAGTCACGTACTACGTCACATAACAACCCTCGATCACTTATGTGGGTCCGACTTGGGAGGACATCCTGAAAATAACGTGTTTTCGGGTCATAATTTGTTCACTTTGTCCCCATAATCTCCCTTTTCATGCAACACGTAATCTGAGGTTGGTGTGGCAAATTTAATTGGTGTAGTATTGATCAACACAAACTTGGTACACATATATCACAATCCCGCGACTTAGGTTTTCAGTCATCTTCGATCATGGAGTGGAGCGGGTTGTTAAAATAGAGATCCAAGGCGGTCTAAATAAGCAGGACAGTTCAAGCCATAGATAGCTCATAAAGGAATTGAAATGGATAAACATGGAATGTGTTAATCTATTGATCAATTAATTGATTGGGTATATTCCCATTTCAACTTGCCCTATCTCTGGATATTAAGCTCAGCTTGCTACCTTTTCGCCTAGCATTAAACCCATGCACTAGGGATGAATGTCAGGAGGCATAAAAAAAAGTTCCCTTTCCAAGTCTTCTTGTTGGATGAATACAGAGCGGAAAGGGGCATCAGACTGGCAATCTTGGTCAAAGACATCGACAGGACTGTTTGAAAGTCTCCATAGATGATCTTCTGAATTTTCCAAGAGTAGACTCTTGGTAGTGATCTCTGGCAATCGAGGGTTCTCACAAGATCTGTCTTCGTTTCCTTTACTCCCATAATAGGAATTCTGGCATTGAGCTTTTTTATCGCCATCACCAAAACTCGTATACTGACCAGTACTGGGCGAGCCCTTCCCCCATTTTAGCCCGTGGGTTCTATTTGCAGCCCCCTTCATGTATTGTCCACTTGGACAACAGCCATTATTTGCTGGCGCTTTGATCTCATAGAATCGACAGGGGTCATTCTGGCGCTGGTGGCGAGAAAGATTGTCAGTCCTGGCTTGGTCGTCGTCCCATTCGCTATATCCAGTATGGGCACATGAGTCAGGAAAAGGTACGACTTTAATTTTTGTTGTACCAAGATCACAATAGCTGGTGGGCACATTTCGATCGATCTTGGAATTGTCCAATTCCTTTTGCAGCGATTGACGTGGAGGGTTTGGATCGAAAACACTGTGAGTGTTAATTAAATAAAAATAGAAATCTCAGGGCATTAAGACAAAAGTCATACCTTGCCAGCTGATAATCCATAGGAGACATTAGGAAGCATTCCAATGTAGGTGGAGATAGGAAGAAGAAAAAGGAAACGAAAGCCTAGTAGCGTCTCGTTCTGAATTTATAGAATTCCTTTACTTGCCGATATCGGGCTTTAGTACTCAGAGAACCAAATCCATATTCGGTATTTAAGCTACGAACTGTACTATTAAAAATTAAAAATAAACAAAAACCGACTCTCGATAAACCTTTGCCGGTATACACTATCATTAAGTGACCTAGGTAGTTTCATCAGCTTTTCTGCGTTTTATGACTTTCCATATAATAAGTTTCTTCGGTCTTTTCCATAATCTTTATATGTTCATCCGAAGCATCACTTCCCCTACGTATGCTGCCCCACATGTCGAGATGTTTAATGCTCAACTAGCACCTTAATGCCGCACGATAACTACTGATGTTTTCTATGGCAGTTTATATACATATTACCATAGCTTGGCGTGTTCTTATACCCCTAGGTACTATGGACATCGACAATAGCCCACCGGACGTTAAACAATATTTCCCTCTTTCCTCCTGCGTGATGAAGGAGGGGAACGGGGACGGGTTGGGGGGTTCAAATAATTTTTCTGTCATTTGCAATCCTGTTCAACAGCTTCTGGGGAAAATGTGATGGCTGTAGCTATAGAGCTAGCGATTGTTTCTCTCTTGTGTTTTAAATTTCTTCAGAAATGAACATTTACTGTACTTCAAAGTAAAAAAGGAGATAAAGGGAACCCCTCCCCCACTCGCCTATCCCTTTTCTATCCCTCTCGACCGACACAGAATTTCCAGGTTCTGGGTCCATAAATTGGGCGCTAAATATGGCACAATCATTTTCTAGGATCCATAGGTCGCCATTGATGGATCGGCTGGCGCTTTAGTAGGATACGGGAAATGCTTGTCGTGGTGTGCTTTATCTTTTCGTTGGCCGAATCATATGCATATTGGACTTACCTCGAAGCGCTGTGGTGTGCTTTGCATCTAGAATTCTCTTAAGTACCTACAACTGTATCAATTTTTTATAGCTATAATTTAATTATTTATTCACTCTGTTCTAGCGCTCGTCTTAAAGCCTCTGAAAGATAGTTAAGTAGTATCCTAGAAACCCTGCAAAAGGAATTTGAAATTTGAAATTTTCTCTTAGAAAAAGAAATTTAATGTAAAATATAAAGAGTTTTAATAGTTAATCTCTCCATTAATCTACAGTGCATCTACTGTATATTTACGAGCCTCAGATTCCCTAGTTTTGCTGATAGCTGTATTTTTAATATAAATTACCTAGTGTACTATATTAGTATTTTAAAATTATTCACTGGCGGCCCTTAGGATCTACAGCACAGATGGCACAGCTATAGTGCAGTTGGCGCAGCTATCACTATTTCCGAGA